TAACTGCTTCTAGGTCTGTACCTTTCAAACAAATAAGAATGACTGATGTGCTTTGACTATGTCCCCACCCAAATCTCATGTTGAACTGTAGTCTTCAGTGCTGGAGGGGCCTGGTGGGAGGTGATTGGATCAGGGGGCAGACTTCCCCCTTGTTGTTCTTGTGATAGTGAGTTCTTACGAGATCTGGTTGTTTAAAGGTATGTAGCACTTCCCCCTTTGCTCTGTCTCCTCCTCCGACATGTGAAAATGTGCCTGTTTCCTCTTCACTTTAGGCCACGATTAAGTTTCCTGAGGCCTCACCAGCCATGTTTCCTGTGCAGCCTGTGGAACTGAGAGTCAATTAAACCTCTTTTCTTCATAACTTACCCGGTCTCAGGTAGTTCCTTATTGCAATGAGAGAATGAACTAATACAATGACAAAAACATAAAGCCCTATTTTCTAGTTCCTATATCATATACTGCTCAAATCGGAGTATGAATGTGTTATAACACATACTTGAAAGAAGTGTTTTGATTCTGGAAAAATTTTATCAATCTCCACCTCTTTTCTGAGTATGGAGAAGTCAAAAAGGCAAAGAGTGGAACTCCACAGAGAAGTCAAGGGAAGAAGATCAGCAAACTTCTAATTAACCAAGCACAATTGCTTTGCCAGGAACATCAGCAAAGGGGACCAAATGAAAATACCTGTCAAAGATGACAAAGTGCTCTGCCCAAAGAGGAAGGCAGAGTTCAGTGACAACAACCTAAAACCTCAGAAGATACCAATCCCTCCATTACCCTCTAAACTGCTACCCGTTAACCTGATTTGCCAGGACATTCTGAGTCCCTGGTGCCAACAATTAAAGCTGAGCACCAAAGGCCAGAAATTAGATGCATATAAGCACCCGTGTGCCTTCGCCTACCCAAAACAAAAGGACATTCCTAGCACAGCAAAAGAGGCCAGAATTCGGAAATCATTACAAAAAAAAAAAAAAAAAAATCAAAGGTGGACAAGGGGTAAACATCCCTGAAAAGTTCTCAGGAGACACATCCTCCTGAGGTGGCTCTTCCTCCTTGTGGGGTGCTGCCTGCCGTGGAAGAGTCTGCTGCTCTCCTTGAAGGAGTTAATACAGCTGTAAGACAACTTCTACCCCAGGTGCTTTGCTGGCCTCCAGGGCCAGAACTGCAGCCAGGGTGGGACACCAGAGGCAGAGGAATCTCCACAAGAGAAGACCATGGGAGAAGTCTCCCTGTAGATACAGATGGTTGGGTTCACCTCCAGTTTCATGTTAGACAAGCCTGGGCTCCAGAAGAGTAAGAACAGAGAGTGAGTGCACTCTTCTTGCTTACTGCCTCCCAATTTTCCACCTGCACCTTAAAGACAGTAAGTTGTGCTCCAAATGTGTTCACAGGTATAAGGTCTTAATAAAAAGCATCCAGGGGGAATAAAATACCAGAAAAAAGGCACATATATGGTAATTAATAGTAGAAAGACTCAACAGTCAATTCCATGGTCATGTTGCTGATAAGTGAACTCCGGTTCTCTCCACACCTGCTTACAGTCCATGCAGACTGGTGGACTACAGGTGTTAGATTATGACACGCAGCAGTGTCTGCTGCTTCACTGGCTGAGATATAGATTCTAATTTTTAAAAATGATAAAACATTTCACAAATTACCATTGATTCTAGTTAATACATAGAAAAAGTCATTTATACTAGACTTCTAAAATAGAAATGACTTCAACAGCTCTTTTAAGTGAAAACTTCTTCAGCTGAGCACTAAGAAACAGTAGTTTGCTCCTGTGCTCAATTTCCCTCCCTAGCATACTAACAACTCTAGGAGTGCCTCCATTCCAATTGTAAATTTCATAAAATGCAAAGTATTTTAAGGCAGAGAAAGGCTGTTAATTCTCTCCCTCCCCAAAACACATGATTTTTAATATTCAAAACAATATTTGTTTTATTAATAACCTGAGACTTCTATGATTTGATTCTAAGACAGAAACACAAGGCACTTTGTATTACTTCCACCTAAAATTGTTTTGTGTTATCTCTGCTGTTTAAAATGTTTAAGGTTGTTCTCCACTCATAAATACATATTAAATGTATATACACTCAAAACCTGTTGGTGGTACAGGTTGAATCATTTGTTTTTAAAATCACTTTATTTAGGTATGATTGACATACAAAAAGCGGCACATATATAATGTATCCAACTGAGTTTAACTTTTAATTTTCTGTGTATTTCCTAAATTGATAGTCCCATGTGTCTTGGAACAGATTTGTTTTTTACTTGTCCTGTGTTTTAATGGCAGTCTCCAATATTGTCTTATTATTACAAGTAGGGGATTTGCTTTGCCCCTTTAATGAAGATATAAAAATAATGCACTGGAAAGAGTGGTAGAACTGGAAAATTTGTAACCATCATGATTACTTAAAAGGTTTGGGAAAGAATCCCAAAAATGTTAAAGCAAGAGAAGAAAGTTTGTTGACAAGTGATATGGTTTGGGTCTGTGTCCCTGCCCAAATAACATGTGGAACTGTAACCCCCCAATGTTAGAAGTGGGGCCTAGTGGGAGGTGACTGGATCATGGGGGCAGATTTCCTCATTGGTGCTGTTCTCGTGATAGTGAGTTTTCCTGAGATCTGGTTGTTTAGAAGTGTGTAGCACCTCCCCCTTCACGCTCTCTCTCCTGCTCCACCATGTGAAGACAGGCCTGCTTCCCCTTTGCCTTCCACCATAATTGAAAGTTTCCTGGGGCCTCCTCAGAAGCCACTATGCTTCTACAGAACTATAAGCCAATTAAACCTCTTTCCTTTATAAATTACCCAGCCTCAGATATTTCTTTATCACAATGTGAACAGACTAATACAAGAAGCAAGACATTTTCATGATCTCATAGTGTTGTTCCTTCCTGCCCTTCACTGGTTGTTGGTGGTCATAATTTTTCAGCACTATAATAAACACATTTGTTCCTTAAAAAAAAAAGAAAGAAAGAAAAAAGTGTTGTAATGCAACACAATCTCCCAGACGAATTCTATGGAATAGATTCCCATTACTAGATTATCTTCAGAAACCTACTTCTAGAAACTTAATCAACTTTCAGCAGCCCAATCAATGAAGTAGCAAATTGACCAGACAGCTGCAATTCTAAATTTCTTGTATGTCCCCAGGCCAAACTTAAAATCTTCAAATCCTTACCATGGAATCTATCCATTTAATCCCTTAATCTCTCTGAATTTCTCTTTGAGAGAAATTTTGATGTCGAGGGCATTAAGTAATGGCAATAATGCCCATGACATTAAAACTAAGCCACAGGAATAAGTTCAAATTTAGCATCACAGTGACTAAATATTATCATAATCACAATTCTTTAATGAGTTTCTAACAAAATAAACAATCTATTTATCAATCAGAAAACCACTTTCATTTCAACTTGCTAAACAGAATTTTGTTTTGCCCTAGGAGAAACAAAGTGCTAGCTAAGTAGCCTACCATAAAAGGAACACTGACCCTGCCTAAATTATGATTTTTTAAAAATCAAACATGATTATTCACTGTACTTCTGCATCACCTGTATTTTTGCATCGTGTGTAATTTTAAAATATATTCTCAAAGGTCTACTCAAATTTTAAATTAATTGCAATTTAGTAAACAGCATAAGCAGAAAACTTTGATACAGTCAGTGTTACCATGTACTACTTTGACCCAAAGTACAAATGGCCAACCAAGGAGAAATTTTCTGGGTAAGCGTAATAACATTTTTATCAAGTCAAACTCTTTCCTTGTTACGGGAAACATTTCTAAAGTATTCTTAATAAGTTTTCTCAACAAAATCACAATCTCAGTGTGTACCATTCACAGAAGTGTACCTGAATAAGCTGATGACAGCCTTAATGAATGGTGATCCTACTGGTAGGAAAGGTCTTCAGAGTGAGAAATGGGACCAGTGCTCCCCTATAACTCTAACTCTTCCAATCCTTCTGAGATTGACATCCACACCAAAAATTAAGAGGCAACCCTCACACATAAATGCTTTCTACTTCCCTTCCAATATTGAGAGTACTCCTCCTAATTTACCAGCTAAATTTATGAGAAGGCAACCAGAAAATATTATTAAACTTTTCCCCCAAATTACCAATATCAATGAGTGGTGGGACTGCAGGTAATTTTTATTTTCTTCTTTTCTTTCTTCTCCCCTAATTTTCAACATGGGTAAACATGGTTTGTTTTTTTTAAAGGGTTCTCTTAATTTTACTTCAAATCTAACCAAAAGAGGCAGATTCTTTAATATGGAACTTATTGTGTAATACCAGCCACACAGTGAAGCCAAAAGCAAGTTTCATGAAACTCAGTGAAGGTTAATATGAACATGTAATATGATGAAGGTTAGACAAACAATGTGTGCTACCCTTCTACACTTTCTTAAAAAGAAGTTATGGGCCGGGCGCGGTGGCTCAAACCTGTAATCCCAGCACTTTGTGAGGCCGAGACGGGCGGATCACGAGGTCAGGAGATTAAGACTATCCTGGCTAACACGGTGAAACCCCGTCTCTACTAAAAAATACAAAAAAAAAAAAACTAGCCGGGCGAGGTGGCGGGCGCCTGTAGTTCCAGCTAATGTAGTCCCAGCTGCTCGGGAGGCTGAGGCAGGAGAACGGCATAAACCCGGGAGGCGGAGCTTGCAGTGAGCTGAGATCCGGCCACTGCACTCCAGCCTGGGCGACATAGTGAGACTCTGTCTCAAAAAAAAAAAAAAAAAAAAAAAAAAAAAAGAAAGAAGTTATGTATGTATTACATGTAACCAAGGTAAAATGATCCTTGAAATAAATGCTAATATTCTTACACATTTTCACAATGAATGTTTCTTCTAAAAGAAAACAGCAAAAGTATAATAAAAAACAATAAAGAAACTAACTTGGTATACAAATTATTTCTTCAACAAATATTTAAGAAACACATTTAATATAAAAGACAACATAAAAATATCAAAAAGAAGAACAAATAAATTGCTTTACCTCTTTATGTGTCACATCCAACTGACCCCTAAGAGTCTTAAGTTCCTGTTCACGGATTTTCAAGCAAGTTTCTAGAGCATGTGTCCGTCCTTCCCATTCAGATTTTTTATGAGCCACCATTATGTCAATCTGTTTCATGAGCTCCTGTAGTTCTGCTTCACACGATGTCAAAAATCCCCTATAAAGAAGAACAGATCATTAAGAAAACAGAAGATATGTTCAAGTGGCTTTTCATCTTTTTCCTGTAAACATATAGCAGATGTAAATCTACCTGAAGTAAATAAATGACATTAATAATGTCAATTAATAAATTACCAGAAGCAAATAATAGGATTTCTGAGCTTTTGCCATTTATTTATTTATTTATTTATTTATTTATTTATTTGGAAACAGAGTTTCATTCTTGTTGCCTAGGCTGGAGTGCAGTGGCACGATCACAGTTCACTGCAACCTCCACCTCTCGGGTTCAAGCAATTCTCCTGCCTCAGCCTCCCGAGTAGCTGGAATTACAGGCATGCGCCACCATGCCCAGCTAATTTTTGTTTTTAGTAGAAATGGGGTTTGCCATGTAGGCCAGGCTGGTTTTGAACTCCTGACCTCAGGTGATCCGCCCGGCCTCAGCCTCCCAAAGTGCTGGGATTACAGGTGTGAGCCACCGTGCCCAGCCTAAGCTTTTACTTTTAATGCTCATATCAAGATGATTACTTATTTCACAGAATATCTTGTCTTCCCCTCATAGCCAACCTAAAGCCCAAGTTGTTTGGTTAGGCACAAGATTGATGTTTTAAGTCTGGTTTGTGGAGCCAGGCTGCCACAGCTAACAAGCGCCTCTGTAATATATTAGGGAAGCTTTCAGGAAGGATCCAGACAAGCCTATATGTCACATTTTCATCTAGCTAAAGGAAAAAGCCTTGGAAGAAAGTAGACTATCATGCAGGAAAGTGATAATACAATTTTAAGAGCTGCTTCAAGAAATTCATCCTTCAGTCAGATTTATTTCAACTATTTCTGCCCATCTTTTTGTCAGAAACTTATTGTAGTAGTCTACCTTACTATTGTAAACTTACTGATATCCTGGCATTTCAGGAGATGCCAGATGTTGCTGAGAAACAGAACTGGACACGGACATACTAGATTCAAAGAGGTTTCCAGAAATGGCCACAGACAGCTATCAGTAAGGCTTAAATACTTTCAAAAACCACCTTTTCTTAGTGTGACAGAACCTTTGTACTTTTGCTTCTTAAGAGTAGAAAAATCAAGATAGGATGTAGGCAAACACCTAGCTTCACACTGCTGTGATGAGGCAAACAACCCAAACAAAGTCCCCCCAAAATACTGTGACCATGACATGGATCAACTTAGCTTTTGCTCAACACTTTTGCTTCTGTACCCAAAGCACAATATGGTCAGAGACATAACTCAGATAAGCTTTTTAAACTGCAGTGAGAAGCTTAAGGTCAAAAGAAAACTTACCACTGGGAGTCCACACACACCACTTAGGGGCCCACCACTACTACCACACACATTGTCCGAGGCACTGGTGATCAGCCTGGCCCCTCCTTCCACCAGTAGGTGCCCTGGAAAAAACCCACCTTGACCACTGCCAGCACCTATGCACATCATCCAGGGACCTTGGAAAGGCCTGCCTCACTCACTACTGCCACCACTGGTGCCTGTGCATGTCATCCAGGGGCCTGGGGATTGATCTGCCCTGCCTGCTACCACCGGTGCCTGTGCATGCCATCTGGGAAGCCTGAGGACAGGCCCATCCCGCCTGCCACTGCCATCACTGACTGGTATGTGATGACCAGTCTGCCTGGTGTCCCTATCCCCAGCAGAGCCTTGCCATAGCCTCCACTAACCACCACGGTCCAAGTCACTGAAGAACTCATAGAAAACACTGATACTGATTATGGCTGGAAAAATCATATAAACTACACTCCTGCACCCACTGAGAATCAAATCCAAAGCACCCTACCTGACCAACATTATAGATACACCTACAGGAAAAAAATTTTCCCTATGAAAGCCAATCCATATAACTGGAAGAAGTGACTATTACACCAGATACACAGAAATCAATATAAGGACACAAGAAAAATGAAAAAGGAAAGAAAAATAACACCTCAAAGGAACACAATAATTCTCTGGTAACAGATCCCAAAGAAAAGGAAATGTATGAAATTCCTAAAAATAATTCAAAACAATGTTATTAAATAAACTCAGTGAGATACAAGAAAACACAGATAATAAAAACAAATCAGGAAAACAATGTATGTTCTGAAAAAGAAATTCAACAAAGAGATGGATATCATTAAAAAGAACCAAACAGAAATCCTGAAACTGAAGAATTCTACAAATGAAATTTAAAAACACAATTGAGTTTCAACAACAGAGTAGAACAAGTAGAAGAATTTCTGAACTTGAAGATGGACCTTTTGAAATAACCCCATCAGACAACAACAACAAAAGAATAAAGTATAAAAAAGAATAAAGAAAGCCTACATGGCATAAAGTGACCAAATATTCAAATTCTTGCAAAACCAGAAAGAGAAAAGATGGGCATAGGAACAAAAAACCAATTTAACAAAATAATAGCTGAAAACTTCCCAATTATTGCAAAAGATATAGATATCCAAATAAAGACAGCTCAAATATCCTCAAATAGATTCAACCTAAAAAGGTCTTCTCTAAGGCACATTATAGTCAAACTGTCAAAAGTCAAAGACACAGAATTCTAAAAACAGCAAGAGAAAAATATCAAATGTTCTGTGAGTTTCTCACATATAAGGATATTGCCATCAGACTAACAGCAGATTTCTCAGCAAAAACCTTACAGGCCAGGAGAGAATGGGGTGATATATTCAAAGTGCTAAAAGAAAAAACAAACAAAAAAAACTGGCATCTAAGAATACTATACCCAACAGAGCCATCCTTCAGAAATGAAGGAAAAATAAAGTTTTTCCCAGACAAGCAAAAAACTGAGATAATTCATCATCACTAGACCAGCTCTACAAAAAATGCATATGGGAGTCCTACATCATAAGGCAAGAGGATGATATCTGCTATCGTGAAAACACACAAAAAGTGTAAGACTCACTGGTGAAGCAGAAACACAAATGAGAAAGAGAAAGGCATCAAACATTATCACAAAAAAAAAAAAAAAAACCAACCAGAGATAGAGAGACCAAATTATACAGGTAAACAATAAAGGAAGAAGAAAGGAATAAAGGATATACAAGAGCACCAGAAAGCAGTTAACAAAATTACAGGAGTTAAGTCCTTACCCATCTATAACAACCCTGAATGTAAATGGTTTAAATTCCCCAATTAAAAGATACAGAATGGTGAATAGATAAAAAGCAAGACGGAACTATGTGCTACCTAAAAGAAACTTACTTCATCCGTAAAGACACGCATAAACTGAAAATGAAGAAATGGGAAAAAATATCCTACACAAATGAAAACCAAAAGCATGCAGGAGTAGTTATTCCTATATCAGACAAAATAGACTTTAAGTCAAATAAACATAAAAAGTGACAAAGAAGGTAATTATATAATGAAAAGGGATCAATTCAGCAACAAGATACTACAGGCTGTAAATATACATACATCCAACACCAGAGCACACGGACATACAAAGCAAATACTATCAGAGCTAAAGAGTGAGAGACAGACTCCAATACAATAATAATTGGGGACTTCAATACCCTACTTTGAGCACCGGACAAGTGATTTAGACAGAAAATCAACAAACATCCAGTTTGTTCTACACTATAGACCAAACAGACCTAAAGACATTTATAGAACATTTCATCTAACAGCTGCAGAATATACATTCTTTAGCACACAGAACATTCTCCACGATAGATCATAGGTTAGGCCACAAAACAAGTTTCAACGAATTTTTTAAAATCAAAATCATATCAAGTATCTTAAACCATAATGGAAAAAAGCTAAAAATCAAGATTAAGAGAAACTTTGGAAATTGTACAAATAACGCGGAAATTAAACAACATGCTCCTGAATGACCACTGGGTCAGTGAAGAAATTAAAAAAGAAATGCAAAAATGTCTTGAAACAAATGAAAATGAAAATACAACATACTAAAACCTATGGGATACAGCATAGGCAGTGCTAAGAGAGATGTTTATAGCAATAGATGCCTACATCAAAACAGTACAAGGACAAAAAAAAAAAAAAGATCGAAATCACACCAAGCATCTTTTCAGACCACAGTGGAATAAAAATATAAAAATAAGAATACCAAGAGGAATTCTCAAAACCACAAAAATACATGGAAACTAAACAACTTGCTTCTGAATGACTTTTGGGTAAACAAAGGCAGATATCAAAAAATTCTTCACAGTGTTAAGAGGAAAGTTTACAGCTCTAAACACCTACATTAAGATCTCAAGTCAACAACCTAAAACAATGTAATGTCACACCTAAAGGAACTAGAAAAATAAGAACTAAACCCAAAGCTAGCAGAAAAAAAGTAGTAACTAAAATCAGAGCAGAAATAAACAAAATTGAGACCAAAACAAATGAAATAAACAGTTGATAAGATTGATGAATTGCTAGCTAAATTAACAGAAAAAAAGGATCCAAATAAATACAATCAGAAATGACAAAGGTGACATTACAACCAATCCCACAGAAGCACAAAAGATCCTCACAGACTACTATGAACATCCCTATGCACACAGGCTAGAAAATCTAGAGGAAATGGAAAAATTCCTGGAAAACACAACCTCCCAGAATTGAACCAGAAAGAAAGAGAAATCCTCAACAGATTAATGAGTTACAAAATTGAATCAGTAATAAAAAGCCTACCAACCAAAAACAGCCCCAGACCAGACGGATTCACAGCCAAATTCTACTAGACATATAAAGAAGAGGTAGTACCAACTCTACTGAAACTATTCCAAAACATTGAGGAAGAGGGATCCCTCTCTAACTCATTCTATGAAACCAACATCACCCCGATACCAAAATCTGGCAAAGATACAACAACAAAAAAAGAAAACTACAGACCAATATCCCTAATGAACATAGATGTAAAAATCCTCAACAAAATACCAACTGAATCCAGCAGCACATCAAAAAGATAATCCATCACAATCAAGTGGGCTTTATTCCTGGGATGCAAGGATGGTTCAACATAGGCAAAAATCA